ACATGCACATCTTTAGCGAGAACATTCCTGAGAAAACTTCCATTTTGACGAGGGCTATTAAGAACCAATCCTCTGCTTACGATTTTACCTGGCCTGGTGAGTAGAAGAATTTTCTATACACCAGCTTTCGGTGCCTTATGATCCGCACCATGTTGCTTCCCCCGTCCCCATGCAGTCTCAGTGTGAGGCTCTGGAGGACACATTTCTACTGGGATATGATCCCTGGCCCTGCACCTTGGTGCCCTGCACTAGGTGAGTGAGCCCGGAGGGGCACACCCACACCAGCACAGCTCCCAAAAGCCGAATGATAGGTGGGAAAGACTACAGACCCCATAAACCTATTTCACAAAACCCAAACTAAATGTATCCCTTGTCTGCTTGACTCTCATTCAAGTCCATTCCAATATCTGACATGAGGTAAAGGAAAATTGGGGCTAAAAAAAAAAAAAAAAGATTATTGTCTTAACTGACCACACCAAAAGCTGCGTTATTGGGGTGCCTGGGTGGATCAGTCAGTTGAGCATCTGACTCTTGGTTTTGGGCCAGGTCATGATATCACGGTTCATGAGTTCAAGCCCCGTATTGGGCTCTGCACTGGCAATGTGGAGACTGCTTAGGATACTGTCTCTCCCTCTCTCTTTGCCCCTCCCCTGCTTGCCCTGTCCTTAAAAAGGGCCATCGAGGGGCACCTGGTTGGCTTAGTGGGTTAAGTGTCCAACTTTGGCTTAGGTCATGATCTCGCGGTTCTTGAGTTTGACTCCATGTCAGGCTCTGTGCTGACAGCTCAGAGCCTGGAGCCTGCTTTGGATTCTGTGTCTTCCCCTCTCTCTGCTCTTCCCATGCTCATTCTCTCTTTCTCTCTCTCTCTCTCTCTTTCTCTCTCTCTCTCTCTCTCTCAATAATAAATAAACATTAAAAAAAATAAAAAGGGCCATAGAACTGACTGGCCCAAAGCTTAAGCTGTCTCCATACTGTGCCTCATCGTTTACAATTTAATGTAGAGACATCAATAGCTTACAAATAGGTATAAGAAAGTCCAGCAGAGTTCTGGTCTTTTCCCCCATGATGATTGATGCTCTTTAGGAAATAAATATCAAAACCTTTAAAAAAAAAAAAGTTTTCTTGTTCTTTTAGCTTCCTGGCTTGCTGGTGCCTGGTCTCCCAGTTGTATGATGGGGTGAAGTCACAGAGCCCACTAAGCAAAAGATTACTCTTCCCAAGAAAAGACGTACAACAGCGTTGTCCAATAGAACTTCCTGCAGTGATGGAAATGTTTTGTGTCTGGGCTCTCCAAAATGGTAGCCGCTTGCCACATATTGCTAGCTATTAAGCTCTTGAACTGTGGCTAGTGAGAGTGAAGAATTGAATTTTATACTGGTTTAATTAATTAAAGCAAAAATTAAAGTAGTCACATGTGGCTAGTGGCTGTCATATAAGACGATGGAGATTTGAAACCATTTGAAAGGGAAGATGACACAGAAAGGGGAGGGGGAAGGGGGGGCATGTTAGTCATGCAGCTATGACCAGCCTGGGGCTTTTTGTTTGTTTTTTAAACCATTTTATTGAGGTATAATTGACATACAAATAGCTGTAAATATCTAATGTATATCTAATATCTAATGTATACAGCTTGATGAATTTGGAGGTAAGCACATACCCAAAAAACCATCACCGTAATCTATGCCATAAACACACCTATCGCCTCCAAAAGTTTCCTCCTGCCCTTGTTTATTTATTACTATTACTATTTTGTGTGTGTGATAAGAACAGTTAACATAAGAATTACCCTCTTAGAAAATAAAAAATTTTTAATGTTTATTTAAAAATTTTTTAAATGTTTATTTATTTTTGAGAGAGAGAGACAGAATGCAAGCAGGGGAGGAACGAGAGAGAGACACAGAATCCGAAACAGGCTCCAGGCCCTGAACTGTCAGCACAGAGCCCCACGTGGGGCTCAAACTCATGAACCACAAGATCATGACCTGAGCTGAAGTCAGCTCAACCAACTGAACCACCTAGGCACCCCTAATGTTTATTTTTTAGAGAGAGAGAAAGACAGAGTGCAAGCATGAGGGGGCCAGAGAGAGAGGGAGACACGGAATCTGAGGCAGACTCCAGGCTCTGAGCTGTCCGCACAGAGCCTGATGTGGGGGTCGAGCTCATGAGATCATGAATGACCTGAGCCAAAGTCAGACGTTTAACCGATTGAGCCACCCAGGCGTGCCGCCCCCCCCCCCAGTTTTTTAAATGTTTATTTATTTTTGAGAAAGCGAGAGAGAGAGAAGACAGAGCTTGAGTGGGGAAGGGGCAGAGAAAGCCAGATACACAGAATTGGAAGCAGGCTCCAGGCTCTGAGCTGTCAGCACAGAGCCCTGCGCAGGGTCTGACTCACAGAACCCAATGCGGGGCTTGAATCCACAAACTGTGAGACCATGACCTGAGCCAAAGTCAGATGCTCAAGCAACTGAGCCACCCAGCCACCCCACCCTCTTAGTAAATTTTAAAGTATGTGATACAATATTAACTATAGGCACTATGCTGTAAGGTAGATCTCTGGGTCTCATTCATCTTGTAACCCTGAAATTTTGTAGCCTTTGACTTCCATCTCTCCATTTCCCCCTGCCCCTTGGTCCTTGGCAACCACCATTCTATTCTCTGCTTCTGTGAGTTTGCCTATTTTAGATCCCCCATGTAAATGAGATCGGGCAGTATTTGTCTTCCTGTGCTTGGTGTCTTTTCAGGTCCATCCATATTGTTGCAAATAGCAGGATTTCCTTCCTTTTTTAAAGGCTGAATAGTATTCCACCGTATGTATATACCGCATTTCCCCCAGCGTATCCATCGACGAACACTTAGATTGCTTCCGTGTCTCGGCTACTGTGAACAATGCTGAACGCAACACGGGAATGCCCACATCCCTTTGAGATCCTGATTTCTGTTCCTCTGGGTATGTACTCAGAAGTGAGATTGCCAGATCATATGGTAGTTCTATGTTTCATTTCTTAAGAACCTTCCGCACTGTTTTCTTCAGTGGCGATACCAGTTTACATTCCCACCAACAGCGTATCAATGTTCCCATTTCTCCACATCCTCCCTAACACTTATCTTTTGTCTTTTTGATATGCGCCGTTCTGACAGGTGGGAGGTGGTATCTCATTGTGGTTTCAGTTTGCATTTCCCTGACGATGAGTGATGTTGAGTGTCTTTTCATGTGCCTGTTGACCATTTGTATGTCTTCTTTGGAGAAATATCTATTCAGTTCCTTTGCCCATTTTTAAATCGGGTTATTTGTTTTGTTTTTGCTATTGCATTGCAGGAGTTCCTTATATCAGGCTGGGAAGTTTTGAAGACCGAGAACCCAAAGACAGTTCTGCCCAGAGGGACTTCCCACTAAGGGTCTTGTCCTTCTCTCTCAGACCTTTCCAGAACAGTCTGGTAGGCCAGGCTGGGGCTGGGGCTAACTACTCCGTTAGACACAAAGCCTAGGGCCCCTGGAAATGTTTTACTTTTCTTAAAATTAGAAGAAAACAAAAAAGAGTTTTTAAGCTGAAGAAAAAGTTTTAAGATATAATATTAATATATTCATCGTTATGTCAACCCACCCATAAAATATAATTTAAATTTTTATTTATTTTTATGTTTTATTTACTTTTTTTAAAAAATATTTTTTATTTATTTCTAGGAGAGACAGAGAGACAGCATGAGCAGGGGAGGGTCAGAGAGAGAGAGGGAGACACAGACTCCGAAACGGGCTCCAGGCTCTGAGCTGGCAGTCAGCACAGAGCCCGACGCGGGGCCCGAACCCACAAACCGCGAGACCATGACCTAAGCGAAAGTCGGACGCTCAACCGACTAAGCCACCCAGGCGCCCCAGGTTTTATTTACTTTTGAGAGAGAGACAGAGTGTGAGCGGAGAAGGGGCAGAGAGAGTGGGAGACACAGAAACTGAAGCAGGCTCCAGGCTCTGAGCTGTCAGCACAGAGCCAGATGCGGGGCTCCAACCCAGGAACTGTGAGATCATGACCTGAGCTGAAGACCATGCTTAACTGACTGAGCCACCCAGGTGCCCCTAATTTTTTTTTTTTTTTAATGGAGGAAGGAGTCCTTGGAAATAAAAATGCTGGGACCCACCAAAGTCTTTATGTGTGTGGGTGGGGAGAGGGGCTGCTTCTACCACTGGCAGCCCATCTTGGCCATCCGGGTATCTCCCTGGCCACCTGCCTCTTTTGAATGCTCCGCCTCAGAGGCCACAGATGAACTCCATGAATGGGTTCAAGTGCCTATTCCCAGACAGGAGAACCAAGGCTTCTCAACAATCCCAGGGTCAGAACAGAGTCCTGCACCCAGGCTTGGAAAATGCCTCTCTAGACGGTTACACACTTGCCCCAGTGGGCAGTAGGGAGCTGGGGAAGGGTTCAAGAACTGTGGAGGAAGGCAGAGAGGGGAAATGCTAGGTTGTAGAGTGAGATTATTAATCTTGACTCCATAAAGGAGGAAGCATGAGCTCCGAGAGGTTGAGAAACTTGCCGAAGCTTGCACAGTTGGGATACAAACCTTGATCTGACCTAAGCCTAAGCACAGATCCCTGGAACCCCTTCCCCAGCCACTGTGGGAGCATTAAGAGTAGTTTCTGTGTAGGCCAGCCCGCCACCCCTGAGAGCTGTTCTCTCTTCTCCCTTCCTCCTTCTTCCTGAGCCGATCCTATAGGATCTCTGGGCCTCAGTCTCCCCCTCTGCGTGTGTTGGGGCGGGGGTCTCCCTGTAGTGACGTGAAAGAGGAAGGAAAGAGGAGGACGTGGCTTTCCACCCTGCCCACGCTAAGGCGCTAGCCGGGGGTTTCCACGAAGCCCACCTCTCCGCGCGCGCCGTCCCGCGGCAGGAATGGGCTCGGCCCCTTTAAATCCCGCGCGGGCAGGCGGGGCCCGGGCCGCGCCCTTGCCGGCTGGGCGCCTGGGAATTGCCGGCGGGCGCGCGCTCCCGTCGCCGATTCCGCGCCCCCGCGCGCCGCCTCCGAGCGCCGGGCCTGCGGACGCGGCGGCGTGCGCACCATGAGCCGCATCTACCACGACAGCGCCCTCCGGAACAAGGCGGTGCGGAGCGCGCGGCTGCCGGGCGCCTGGGACCCCGCCGCACACCAGGGGTAGGCCCGCCGCGCCCTGCCCCTGCCTCTCGGACCGCCTCGGCCGGCCCTCCGGCCCCGGGCGTGGAACCCGGGCTTCGGGATTGGGGAGGGGACCGCGGTCCAGGTGGGGGTGGCAGGGGAGGCCGGCCTGGCCGAAGCTACCTGCCCCGCCCCCGGTGCTCCCCTGCGCCCTGCAGGCGGAGCGCACCCCCGGGACACAGATCGGCTTAAAATTCCCCACTGCCCGCCTCTCCCCGCCACCCCCCGTGCGGTCGAGAGAGGGTCTGGACCCGACTCCCAAACGGAGCTCGAAAGCACCGACCTTTGTCTCTACCCCTCCCTGTCGCGACAATAAACTCCAATCACTTGCCTCGCCGCCCAGGCCTCCCCACTTCCCGCCCCGGAAGGGACGAAGGCGTGCAGCGACCCCAGCGGCGCAGGGGGTCGGCGTGGCGCGGCCGCGGGAGGGCAATGCCTGCCTGGAGGGGTCGGGATGGGTGGAGGGGAGGCGCTGTGGTCACCCACGCAGAGGTTTTGAGAACAAATGCACCATTTCAGCCTTAGGTGCAAACACTAGGAATTTGGAGGTGAGGAGTGGGCAGGGACAGGTAATAGAGCGAGCTCTCCATCCCTTCCTGTGTCCCCTCCCCTCTCCCATTTCTGTGGCTCTAAAAAGGGAAACCCCAGGTTCTTCCTTTATGGAAACTAGAAACGGGAAGCGGGGAACTAGTAACTCTCAGCGAGGGACCCCACGATCTTGGGCTAGTCATAAAACTTCTGATTTGGGGTTTCACCACCTCTAAGTGCATAGGAATGACAAGAGGAATAGAAAGTGCTTTAAAACAGGTGAAAAGAAAAAAACAGCGGAAAAGGGAAGATACTTTATAGCAGCTTAGGCCCCTTTATTTAACTCAAATTTGGTTAAATGAAGAAGTAGAATCTTTTCTATTTAGTAAGCACTTTATAGTTTACAAAACACTTTCACTCGATCTTAGACTCAGTGAGGTGGCTGTTACTCTCCCATTTTGTAGATAAGAAGACTGAGGCTCTGGGTACAGCAACTCTTTGCAGGAGGGGCCACAACCTGATCTTCCAGCCTCGAGGAGGTCCCTTCTTCTCTCTGGCAGTGCCCCAGCCTTTGCGACCTGCAGAGGCGTGGAGTCCCCATCTGGGAAATAGGAAGAAAAGGATGGCTCTGTATTAAACCTGTTCAGGAACCACGTGAATAGGAAACACTTGCGGGCCTTGCTCCTATCCCGGTGCAGACTCTCCCTGGGCCATTGAACTTGTGGTTCTTCCCTGAGGACTGACGGAACCAGCTGACCCCTTCTTCCTCTCCATCCCCAGCGGCAATGGCGTCCTGCTGGAGGGAGAACTGGTGGACCTATCTCGGCACAGCATCTTGGATGCCCACGGCAGGAAGGTGAGGACGCTGTCCTGGGCACACCCCCGGGGCACTGGCTTCATGGTCCTCACCCAGCGACGCATCTGCATCTCCCGGTGCTTGACTACATCAGCTCCCGAGATTTGGGGGCCAGCTCCTCCCTGCAGGGGCTCACAGCGCAGGGGGGGAGTGGGCGGGGACAGAGCAGCCGAAAGGGGCCACTGAGTGGAAAGGGTTCCCTGGCACTGTGTTGGGCAGAGGACAGATGTCAGGGTCTGGGTTCCTGCCGAGGAGACAGATCAGCACTAACCCCAGTGGTGTGTGTTTGGGGCCGAGATTGGGGGCGTTGAGAGCAGGAAGGGGTGAGGTGATTGGACTGAGGCTATGGGTGCTTTGTGGGCTGGAAAGTGCTCTGAAGAGTTCCCATTGCTTCTCTTTAAAGGGCTGGGAGCCTCACTGGTGAGCAGGATGAGGGGCTCTGTTTTCTGGGAGGGCCGAGGGCCCAGATTCCTCGCTTCGGGTCTGGTGGCTCCCACTGCCCTGGGGCCTAATGGGTCCGCAGTGACCTTCTCCTTTTGGGGGACCAGGTCTGTTCCTGGGAAGTCACATCACCTTTGAAATTTTTGGAATTGAATCATTTTCATCTTTTTTAAATGTTTATTTTTGAGAGAGAGAGAGAGAGACAGAGCGTGACTGGGACACGGGTAGAGAGAGACAGAGGGAGACACAGAATCTGAAGCAGGCTCCAGGCTCTGAGCTGTCCGCACAGAGCCTGCCACAGGACAGGGCTCGAACTCCTAAACCGCGAGATCGTGACCTGAGCAGAAGTCGGATGCTCAACCGACTGAGCCACCCAGGTGCCCCTGAATCACGTTCAATGTCCTGGTGGAGTGTGTTGTTAGAAGGAGACTTAAAGTTCTCCATTTGCAAAGTGGTGGCTCTCGGGCTTGCTCGACTTTGAACAGCACTGTGTGTAGCCGGGCGCTTTGGAGTGTGGGGTTTTTAGAAAGGTCCCTGCTGTGGTCCTGGGCATCCGCGTGCATACAGGCAGGGACATTGGGGTGGCGGGCGGGTTGCTGTGCTCGGGGCCTTTGTCCAGCCTCCGCATTAGGCCTGCATTGTCGACCCCGCCCAGGGCTTCAGTTCCCTCGTCCTGTGCCCTTCTCGCCTTGCCCTCTCACGCCGCTGGGGTCATGCCCTCCATCACCACGCCATCTCAGGTGTCACAGACACACCTGCTGCGCACCCTCCGGGGCTTACCTGTGTCTCTTTCCTGAGCGCCAGTTCTGGGTTTCCACCCCGTTTCTAACAGCCCCGCTGCGGTGTGCTGACCACCTTAGCCCCTCGTTGCCTAAATCTGAGTCCGTCCCAGGGGCTCGGGCCCCGCTGCTGCACTGCGGCCCCGGGAAAAGCCTCCGCTCCCAGCTCCATGCCAGTTTCATGCCAAGAGATGTTTTGCTGCACCCGCCCCCCTCCTTAGGCGGCCAGTCGGCAGGGTGGATGCATCTGTCGGGAGCCCCCAGCCGGCCTGTCGAGCAGGGCCAGCAGTCGCTCCAGGCTGATGTGGGGCCGGCCGGCCTCTGCTGCTCTCGGGGCAGAACATTCTGTCAGGCCCGCGCACACTTGCCTTCTCTGAGTTCTCCCTTCCTCGTGATCATGCAGTCGAACTCCCGGCCGCTGGCCGCAGGCCTGCAGACGTCTGCTGCCTTCCTCCGCCCTGCGCCGGGGAAGCAGTGCCCGGTCCCCTGGTCCCTTCTACCTTGGCCATCCCTTCCCGCCCCTCCCCTTCCTCTTTCCACTGGCCTTAGGTGGATGGGGGGGGCCTCAGGAACTTAGCTTGTTCTCCTCAAGCCTCGCACCCCACCCAACGCGCCTTCTTGCCTTGACGCCCACTTGTTCCCCAAAAGCCATATCTGAGGGCCTCACCGCGGCTCAGAAACCTTTTGGGATTCCTTCTTGTCTACCAGGTAAAGTCCAGACTCCAAATACAAACTCAAGGCCGGTTTCGAACTGATCCCACTTGCATTCACGGCTTGGGCTCCCACGAGGCCCCTGACTGCGCTGGGTCGCTCAGACGTGCACCCCGGACCTTGACTTTTATTTCGTTCCTGTCCCAGGCTTTTAGTATTCTCCCTACTCCTGGGGTGCCTGGGTGGCTTAGTTGGTTAAGCGTCCGACTGTCTCTTAGGTCATGATCTCGCGGTTCGTGGGTTCGAGCCCCGCGTCGGGCTCTGTGCTGACTGCCAGCTCAGAGCCTGGAGCCTGTTTCAGTCTGTGACTCCCTCTCTCTCTGACCCTCCTCTGCTCACGCTGTCTCTCTCCCTGTCTCCTAGAAATAAGTAAAACATTAAAAAAAAAAAATTCTCCCTACTCTCCTTTTCCCGAAGTCACAGGTTTCTCCATCCTTCAAGACTTTGCCAAGAGATGGGTTCCCCTTCTTCAGTGTCTGGGAGCAAGTCGTCCGCCCGCTTTGGTTAGAGTAGCGGGCAAACAGCATGTACAGCCCACTTTACGTATTACACTTGTGCTCGCTCCTCTACGATCTCACTGAACCCTTACAGCATTCCTGAAAGTAGACAGCACATTGTCCCCATGCAGCAGGGGAAACTGAGGCTAGGAGGGATTAGCCCCAGGTCCAACATGTATGGGAAGAGACACAATGGCTGCCCTCACTCGGAACTTTCTATTACCCTTGCCTTCTTCCCCTCCTGCATCATGGTATTTGGGGTCCTGGGTGCTCGGGTTATGGCTTTCTGCATGTGCTTTCCGTCTCTGGCTGTGTGCAGACCTTGGGGTCGGGCGGGCCCGCCATCTCATGGCCATGTACGTGGTTTGTTATGTGTGGCAGGTGTGTACCGAGCACATGATTGGATAAATGAATGAGTATGGGGTGGGGGTATTCTGCCCAGCTTGAATATCTTTTGGAGCCGAGGTGGGATTCGGAGTGGAGAGGGAGGTTGGGGGGCCTGCAGTGGAGCCCTGTGAGGAGTGTGTGTGTTGGAGGGAACGGGGTGCCGTGAAGCAGCGCCCTCACTGTCTCTGTCTGGCCCCAGGAGCGCTACTACGTGCTGTACATCCGGCCCAGTCGCATCCATCGCCGGAAGTTCGACCCCAAGGGAAATGAAATCGAGCCTAATTTCAGTGCCACCAGGAAGGTGAACACGGGCTTCCTCATGTCATCCTACAGTAGGTATCCTCTGTCCTTCCTCTCTCGGGGCCCTCCCACCCTGTGGCCTTCCTGTGTCTCTTGGTCCCTAATGAGTGTCTGCTCAGCCTTGAAGTCCATGTCTGGCCTGAGGGCCTGCTGGCTGGACTCCCCCCACCCCTCATTCCGTCAGAGGATCCCTGGTGGCCCCCCTCAATCCCAGGGGCCTGGCTGGCCTTCTGACTCCTGCCGACTCCCGCGGTCTGGCACAGTCGCCCATGAACCTGGCTCTGGGCTCTCACTGCCTCTGTGCAGAGCCCGGGCCAGGCCCCTGGCAGCCTCCATCTTCCTGCCCAGATTCCCATTTGATTCTTAGGCCCTTCGTGACCTCATTGCTCTTCCCTGCGGTGGCTCTGCAAGGAGCTCTTTGCTGTCTTCCGTGGTGGAAGAAGGTTTTGCGGCTGAGTGAGAATCCATCCATCCCTCTATCAGTTTATGATTCGTGGTTTCGGTTGTCCACTCGTTCTCTGAATATTTAATGAGCATCTACCCTGTGCCAGGCCCTGAGCCACATGCCGAGGGTCCAGGGACGAACAAGACGTGGACCTGCACCCAGGATGCCCTCGGTCCCTTAGAGGAAATGGACGGGAGAGAGGAGGGGCTTCGGGCCCACGCAGGCGTGGTCAGGGGTGGGCCTGGAGGAGGGAACACCAGTATCGAATGCTGAAGGGAACGGCGTGCATCAGCAGGGTGCCGGGGTTCGGAAGGGTTCCCCGGAGGGGGCTGCGTGCCGGGGCATGCTGGGACTGGGGGCGCCTGACGCACGCAAAGGGAAGACTGTAGGGAGGCAGGGCCAGGTCGAGAAGGGCCCCAGAGGGGACACCTGATCAAAGGTACAGGGGAGCCCTGTTGTGAGTGATTTTAAGTAGGTTCCGTAATGTGATCAGAGTGATTTTTTTTAAATCCCTGGGTGGAGGGGAGAGCACCTAGGTGGCTCAGTCGGTTAAGAATCCGACTTTCGCTTAGGTCATGATCTCACGGTTCGTGGGTTCGAGCCCCGCGTCGGGCTCTGTGCTGACTGCCAGCTCAGAGCCTGGAGCCTGTTTCAGAGTCTGTCTCCCTCTCTCTCTGGCCCTCCCCTGCTCACGCTGTCTCTCTCTCTCTCTCTCTCTCTCCTAGAAATAAAAAAAAAAAAAAAAAAAAAAAAAAGAATCCGACTTCAGTTTAGGCCGTGATCTCACAGTTCGTGAGTTTGAGCCCCACCTCGGGCTCTGCCCCTGGGTGAGGGGCACCTGGCTGGCTCAGTCAGAAGAGCATGTGACTCTTGATCTCAGGGTCGTGAGTTCAAGCCCCACGTTGGGTGTAGAGACTCCTAAAAAAAATAAATAAGTAAACTGAAAAAAAAAATCACGGGGGATGACCAGCAGGCCTGTGTGGAGGAGACTGTCATGGCCAGATGAAGGGCCTGTCAGTGAGGATGGAGACACGGACAGACTCAGGACAGCGGCCTCCGTGTTGGGAGACGGGGAGAGTGAGAGAGGGCTCAGGGACGACCCTGGGTCTGGGCTCAGGCGCAGGTGCGGGGAGAAGAGCTCCGTCAGGGACACGTGGCTGCACCTCTGGGTGGAGGTCGATGCCCTCTGGGGCCTTGGAGGGACAGTTCTGGAACCCAGGGAGCTGGCGGGGCCGGTGGAACGCATTTAGGAGCCATCGCGCATTGCTGGTACTGAAGCTGTAAGCGCGGATGGAGTGGCCTGGGAGGCGGGAAGGAGCCCCCCCGGGAGCCAGAGAAGGGACCCCTGCAGAGGTCCGAGGGAGATGGGGAGTACATGTGTCTCTGAGGCCCAGTGAAGTGGCGGGGTGGGGGGGTTGGGGGTAGCAGTGGGGTCAGGTGCTGCCTGAGGCCCAGGAAGCATCCGGTGGACTCACAGTGAAGAGCTCCCAGTGACTCGGGGAGAGGGAGGGGGAGGGGTCTGGAGTAGTGGGTGTCAGAGCGAGAATTCAGGAAGGCATCAAAGTAAGATCCAGTGTGGAGAAGGAGGCCTAGGTACCCGTCGAGGGAGAGGGGGTGGGATCTGGAGCCCAGACGGAGGAACGGAGTCGAGGCAGGAGAGGGACACTCGGTCCTTTGAGACAGAAGAGGAGGAGAGGCTCCATGTGCTTATCGGTACGTTGACAGGCAGGTGGGGGGGGGGGTAAGTAGCCCCACCTCTGGCTTCTGTGATCTTGGGACATGGAGGTGACAGGTGGGGTGTCTGAGGGACGTCGGGAGGGGGAAGGGCTGAGGAGCAAAGAGCAGTTCGAAAGCCCTTGGTGGGAGTGCGGCATCAGGGGAACCCCAGAGGGCGTCCCTGATGGAACTTGGCAAGGTTTTACACCCTGCATGCAGCGGGGTCCGGCCTCTCCGGGCTGGCTGGCTGCTCCCCCTGCCCCTGGCTGTGGGCCAGCGCTGGGTTCCTGAGCTGGGGTGACTGTGCCCACCTTCCTGGGATCTTGGGGCCTCGTGAGTCCTCCCAGGCATGTGAGGCCTCACTTCTCAGTCTGGGACCCTCCTTCCTCATCCCCCCGGTCCCCACCCGGGATCTGTAGATTTGGGACATTCAGGGCAGGCAGGGGAGGCTGTTGGGACTCCCCCTGAGCCTTTGAGCTCTGCCAGTGCTGGGGTGAGCTGGCCAGGGGAGAGTATGTGGACCCCATAGCTCGCTGCTCCTTGCACAGACCCCAGCCCAGCCAGGAGACCCTGAGAGCCTGGGGGGGGGGGTGGAGCCCTGTCTAGTCACTGGGGACTCAGTGGGGAGGCAGACTTTTGTAGAGCATTTGAATCCTGCCTCTTCCACTGACGAGCTGTGTGACCTTGGGCAAATCACCTAACCTCTCTGAAGCCATTGTTTTCCTCTCATGTATAAAAGGAATAATTAGGGGCACCTGGGTGGCTTAGTCGGTTGAGCGTCCGACTTTCACTTAGGTCATGATCTCGCGGTTCGTGGGTTCGAGCCCCGCGTCGGGCTCTGTGCTGACTGCCAGCTCGGAGCCTGGAGCCTGTTTCAGAGTCTGTGACTCCCTCTCTCTCTGACCCTCCCCTGCTCACGCTGTCTCTCTCTCTCTCTCTCTCTCTCTCTCTCTCTCTCTCTCCCTCTCCTAGAAATAAATAAAACATTAAAAAAAAAAAATAAAAAAAAAAAGAAAAGGAATAATTAACGCATTTACGCTCGCTGGGGGTTTACCACACGCCAGACACCGAGCTAAGTGCTTTACGTGTCATTTCATTTATGCCTCACGTCAGCCCTACCAGGAGGTACCATCTCTATCCCTCTTTGTCAGGCACAGAGAGGTTAATCACTTGCATGGGCTCAAGCGGCTTGTGAGCAGATTTGCACGGGGGCAGCCTGGCTCCAGGACCGGAAGTCCTGTGCCAGGAGAGCCCTGATGAGCACTGGCTCCGTGGGTACGCAGAACCCTGCCTTCAGGGGGTGGTGGGCACGTCCATCCAGGTCTCACCTAGCTCCGAAGAGCCCCTCCCGAAGTGTTTGCTGTGACTGCGGTGATGACCCTCCCGTGCCGTGTGCCTGCAGGGGTGGAAGCCGCGGGGGACACGGACAGACTCACGCCCGAGGCGCTCAAGAGCCTGGTACAAAAGCCGGAGCTGCTCGCGCTGACAGAGAGCCTCACCCCCGATCAGACAGTGGCGTTCTGGATGCCTGAGTCAGACATGGAGGCAATGGAGCTGGAGCTGGGGCTCGGGGTGCGGCTGAAAACTTGAGGCGACGGCCCCTTCCTGGGTGAGCGGGGCAGCCCTCACGTGGTCACGTGTCCCCGTGGCCTGTAGCAGTTCCCGGCCTCCCGGCCGAGGCTCCTCCACCCCATCTGCTTAGAACCCGCTTGAGCAGGTCAGGTCTGCGTATTCCTGAGACTTCTTCCCAGGTCTCTGGACAAGGCCCCGGGGCCAGCAGCCTAGAGGATCCTGGGGTGCCGCCCAATCCCGTGGTTCCCGCGGGTGACCTCTGCTATCGAGTCACACTCGGGGGTCGCACCCAGGGCTTCCCTGAGGGCACCCGGGCCTGATGAGAAGAGTGGCTTAACCCAGGCCCCGGGGACCCCAGCAGAGCAGGCCAGCCCCGACTATGTTTCCACGACAGGGAGATGAGCCACTCAACTCCTTCCCTTCTTGCAGAGTCATTAGCCAAACTTGAGGCTGGAACGGTGACCAAGTGTAATTTCGCTGGTGATGGAAAGACGGGGGCATCCTGGACGGACAACATCATGGCCCAGAAGTCTGCGGAGGGGGCCACAGAGGAGATCCGAATGCAGGGGGATGGCGCAGGGGACGACGAGTGGGTGGGTCAAGAGATGTGCCCGTGGACCTGGCGTTGGGACGGTTCGTCCCCGGGCAGGAGCTCTGTGCGTACGGGCCGTGGCTGGGTCACAGCAGCGTACATTTTACTCCCTACCCCCCCCAGCTTTGGCGGAGCTCATGGAATTTCCTAAGAGTGTGTCAGCCTCGGGAAAATTCCTCTCGAGGCGGGAAGGGTGACTGCTCGAGAGGCCTTTCTTTTGGGTAGGTCTGAGCTGTGCTAATCCATAAGAAAGTTCCAAAGATGGATAAAAGCAAGAGATGGAAAGAATGGAATTCGGAGGGAAATCAGCGTAACCTGATGCCATGAAATCTCCAAACATTATCACTTCAAGTGACTACATTAGCCGCGTTGTGGCCGCTCAGCTGAATGAGCTTTTTCTTTTCCCCTCCTTCATTCCGGGCTCCCTGCCCAAAGTGGCTAGAAAATGGCTGGCTTGGTCCTCACTAGTTGTTGGCTTTTTTTTTTTTTTTTTTTTGCCAAGGATCAGCCCCTCAGTCCATCTTTAGTCTACCCACAGTTGATGTGTTTTTCTGAAGCATATTTTGCCTGCAGATTTGAATTGATGTCAAAAGGCCCCAAATTGAACATTTACAACAAAGTCTCTAAAAAATGGGCTCTATGTCCTTGGCCAATGAGGTCATTTGCCAGAGAAAGCAGGGCAGGGAGAGTAGAGGGTCTGGATTCCCCCTTTGTCTTAATAAAGTGAGTCTGGGAATGAAAAATAATTGGAGCGGCCAGGCCAGCTCCTTGGGGCCCGCCCTAATGAGGTGAAGCCAAGGAAGATGGCCGAGGGGCCTGTTTGTGCCACTCGGTTGAACTCTTGTTTGTCTGATGACTTGTAGAAGACTTTCATGAAATGTACTCTGTTCATACCTCTTTACTTAACCCGTAGGATGACTGAAGTCGCCCCTGGGTCCCACCAGCACTGCTGAGAATTTTGTCCATCACTGTCTACCCTGGAGCTCGCCTTACCTGGTTCTTCCCTCCGGCCGCCACGGAACACCCTTTAAATAAGCGCTGCTGAAACCAAACCAAGACCAAGCCAGGAGCAGTGGGGGCCCCCATGCCCATCTCTAGATATTTTCATGGTGGCCCTTGCCCTGAGTGGCAGCCTCGTTTCTAGAGGCAGGCAGTGGATGGGTCCCCCCAGGGCCGCCGGCAGAACTGAACTTGGTCTTGGCGTGGACGTGGGGACTGTCCCTCATCTGCATACAAAGTGGCTCGGGTGTTCCTTCTTCTGTCCTTGTATGTCTTGCCTTCCTTCTACACCTGCCCTCTTTCCCCAGGGCCCAGTGGTGTAGCCTCTGCTCCTGAGTTCAAACCTCCTTTCCCCTGTGTGCCTTTTTCTTCCCCTATAGCTGCCCATTCTTCGTCCCCACTCTGCTTCTCTGCCACACTGGGGGCTCCCATCTCCTGGCCTCCTTGGCTGCTTTCCTGCGGATGCTGTTCTCAGGGAGGCCTGGTGTAGTCACAGGTGTGGCTGGCTGATCCCCACCTTTCAGACCCACTCTGCCAGGCCACATTTTGAGCCCACCTTGGCCGTTTTCGTACTTTGAGAACTTTTTATGAATGAGTAAATTTCCAGAAAAGGATTCCTTTACATTGACTGGGTTATGTCAGGTGTAAACCGTCTCCCAGCTGAGCAGTGATCCTATTAAGAAGGAACCCGTGTCTTTTTGATCATGAACATTTCCTTGCTGGGTAGTGAGCCCACACCCAGATCTGTGACGGGATGTGGAATTGACATCTACGTGTCCCAAGAATGGGCTTGCCTTAGAGACAAGAGGGGGTGGTGACGAGTCCCCTAATGTATCAAACACAGCGCTAGATGTGCTTCATGATAATAATTGGGCCTGCTTCCTGGCATCAGTACGGATGTCCCCTGCTTTTTAAAAGTTTGTGTTATGACCCTTGGCTTCTATGAAAGACCTTACTTAGTACCTGTTCTTGCTGACCAAAAGAAATCTGAAGAGGGTTTTCATTTTTATGAAAAAAGGCCAAAGGTGAAAATCACATTCAGCATTTGTTTTGCAGTGAGCCTTTACAGACGCTGTGCACCCCCCCAAGTCGTGAGAGTGGACCCACCAGTGCCCCCCTGGGAACGATCCTCGGCATCAGGCCCCCATAGCTTTGAACTGTGCCTGTGCGCATCTGCTTTATCTCCGTTGATTTTGTGCTTGCATTAGCAAGGTGTGCCCTAAGGTTTCAGAAAAGCCTAAGTGAACACTCAAAAATTTTTCCATATAAATTGTTTCTTCACTTTCTACCATTTCAGTTTATAAGATGTTTCATAGGAATGCTGTACTTTTTGGATAGCGGGGGAAACTTGTTATTTGCTCAGCACTTGCAATATCTTACTTACTTATCACAACAATCCCAGGAGGTACCTGTGATTGGTTTTTGAGCTGCATGTGATTATTAGTCCCCCCCCACCTTTTTATTCATATGATTCTGAAGCTTACAGGCTCCACCCATAGTATACAGAAGAGAGAGGAATTTAAACCCAGGCGCTCAGATTTCAAACTCTTTTCTGCTTCCACATGTACACAACAGGGGAGAAAGGGGGCCTCGGAGAGGGTAAAGCAACTTGCCCAGAGTCATAGCTAAGAAGTGAGACAGCCAGGATTCAAATCCAGGGATGTCCAAAGCAAAGCTTATGTTCCTTCCCTTCTCCTTGGCTTCCTTGGCCTATAGAAGGACCTTGAACGCACGGGCCCGAGGAGTCCTGGCCCGGTGAAGGAGGGTTCTGTTCCTAGACTTTACGGAACTTGCCTAACTCCTTGACTGCTGATATGCCCAGGCTGAAATCAGTCCTACTGATTAGCAGTTGAGCAGGTAATGTTGTGCTTCTTGCATTTATTATCTTGGTTCCCATTTTCATTTACCTTCTTGCATAGTTGAGCCTGGGTTGGACAGTATGGCTGTGAGGCTTGGGGTTAGCACTTCACTGGGGCTACCTGAAGTCCCGGGTCCCTGGACTGCTCATAGATCTCTTCTGTTCTTGTTGCCCTTTTCTTAATTCAGATCCTTGTGACCTTTGACCTTGACCATCGTAGAAGGTGCCTCCCTGGTATCCTGTGTCTGAGTAGGGCTGGCTGGTGTTGAACCTGCTGGGACCTCAGCCATGGGGGTGACCAGGGAAGTGGTTAAGCAGCAAGAGGCCTGGGGATACTGATGAGAGACACCCTGTGAAGGCTTCCTGCTGCTCAGAGCACTGTGGCCAAAGGGCCACATGTCATATAGGCAGGTCACCATTCCAAAAAAGGAGGGCCTGTGTGTCAGTAGGGGGAGACCTGGACAGTAAACGGGTTTGGTGTCTTGGGTGGGCTGGGGGAGAGAGGAAGAGGAGAGGAAGGAAGAAAGGAGAGAGGAACGAAGGAGGGAGAGAGGAAGAAAGAAGGGAGAGAGGAAGGAAGGGAGAGAGGAAGGGAACGGTCCTTGTGGCTGGAGCTCAGAGAGTGGGTAGAGGTTGAGGTTGTTTGAGATGAGGCTGGACATCAGCCATGGCATCTTTAGCACGTTAAGTACTTTAGGACTTTATCCTTAATTTCCTGGAAGGCAGGGATTCTGGGAAGGGTGATAAGATTTGATTTGTTTATATCAAAGATCGCTTGACTGCAGAGAACCTGAGAGCAATGAATCCAACTGGGGCCGCTCCAGTTGTCACAGTGATGGGGCTGGAGTGGTTTGGTGTATAAGGGCACAGGACAGAAGTTCAGGTGGAGGAGGAGGAAGGGGGTTTCCTGCAGAGCGGAGGTGGGGGAGCGGCCTGCCCATGGAATATGCAAGTTCTGTACATGGTTTCTGCCATATCACACCGACACATAAAGCCCCTTAATCCTTTTTCAGTTAATGTTGTACATTCGCTTTCTGTGTTGCTACACAGTCTTCATAACCATTGTTTTTTAAGATTGACTGCCATTTAATAGCTCTGTCATTGTCCAATTTGGGGGTAGTTAATAGAGTCCTATTTGGAGCTAAAATAATTAATGTTTTAGATTATATACTATTACATAATTATATACAATTCTTTTAGATTATATAGTTCCCTCAACCCCACCCATACAGCCTCTCCCACGCCACCTCCTGCCCCCCTCTTCCCCACCCCCACCATGCCGTATTTTTGTATCTTGGGGTTGTTTCTTTAGGGACAGATTCCCACAAGTTAGATCACTGGAAATTTAGGAGTTTTTTTTTTTTTTTTAAGTCTCTTTAGATCATCAAATTTGCTTTCCCAAAGGGTTGTTCTAAATTATAGTTTCACCAGCAGTGTAGGAGAGGACCATTTTCATGCTCCCCCTGCCAGAACTGGTGTGATAACATTTTTAAAAAATATTTGATCAAGTAAAAATAAAAAATAAATTTTTTTGTATTAAAAAATTGTTCTAACATTTATTTCTTTTTGAGAGAGAGAGACAGAGTAAGAGCAGGGGAGGGGCAGAGAGAGAGGGAGACACAGAATCCGAAGCAGGCTCCTGGCTCCGATCTGTCAGCACAGAGCCTGACACAAGGCTGGAACTCACAAACTGTGAGATCATGACCTGAGCCAAAGTTAGCAGCTTAACCCACTGAGCCACCCAGGCGCCCCAAACTTGAAACTTAATCTCAAATTTAATACTTTAATTTTGATTAGACTTCCCCCCATTAAATAGTGAACTTAAACTTTTTTTCATGTTCCTTTCCTAGATATATTTCCTCTTTGCTTACTCAGTTTCTTTGCCTGTTTATATACGGGGGGTGGCCTTTCAGTTTTATTTATATTTTAAGTATAATCATTTATCATATTTTAACAACTTTTTTTTAAAGTGATTTTTTACAAACATAAAATCTTTATGGATTTATCTGTTGACTTTTTGTGATTTGTATTGCTTCTAGGCTTATATTCTCCTTTCAGATCTTAGATATTCAATTTCTGTTTCTTCCATTTGGATTATTATATGGTTTTACGTTAACTCCTTAATCTACTCTGCCTTTATTTGTGAAAGGGTAGGAAGTAAGATAACTAAATAGCTTATTTTCAAATTGCTAACCAGTAATCCCAACATGTTATCAGATTCCTTCCCACTTTGAAGTTAGGATGTCTCCTATATCCTATATTAAAGTTATTTAAAAAATTGTTTTTATTTATTTTTGAAAGAGAGAGAGACAGAGTGTGAGCAGGAGAGGGGCAGAGAGAGAAAGGGAGACAGAATCTGAAGCAGGCTTCAGGCTCTGAGCCATCAACACAGAGCCCGATGGAGCTCGAACCCACAAACCACGAGATTATGACCTGAGCCAAAGTCGGACACTTAACCGCTTAACTGACTGAGCCACCCAGGCGCCCCTAAAATTATTTATACTTAAATTATTACATTTCAATAACCGCTTAACTGACTGAGCCACCCAGGCGCCCCTAAAATTATTTATACTTAAATTATTACATTTCAATAAGTCTTCCTGTGGTGACAGTTTGAACTTTCATAGCATGCTTTCAGATTTCATAAAGCTAGGTCTCCCTCATTACTCTTGTTTTAGAATTTTGATATTCCGTCTCAAGATTTGAAACGTTTTGTCAAGTTTCAGTGCATATTGACTGCCTTTGGATTTTTTTTTGGTTAAAAAAATCTGGCTACAAGAGTAATACATATTTATTTTAGAAAATTCAAAAAACAAAACAAAAAACATACACTTTCACCATGGTTTATTAAATCGCTTATGTAGTACTGTTATATGCCATGCATTGCTCCACATGCTTACAAACAGTAGCTAATTTTGTATTTATAATTGTCTAAGGAAAATAATTACTTCCAAGTAGAAAAAATGTCTGCTATTACAGTAAACGAAACTGGTATTATGCCTGTTCTACAGACACTTACCCAACGCGCCCAGGTGGTCAACAGAGCCAGGTTTTTACCCAGGACAGTGTTGTTACCATGGCCCACGTAGAACTCTTTGTGATGCTCCCATTCCATCAGATACAGTTATTATTTATATTTTAGTGTGTCCACTTAGTCTTTTGCAAAATGGGGTATCCATGTACATGCTTTCAGCGTGAGTGGGGGAGATGCAGAGAGAAGGAGAGAGAACCCCACTAGGCTCCGCACTGTCAGCGCATAGCCAGACATGGGGCTTGAACCCGCCTGAGATCATGCCGAGTGGAAACCAGCAGTGCCAGGACGAGGTTTAAATGACTGAGCCACCTCGGTGCCCCTCACAACATTATTATTTTAAAAAATTTTTAACATTTATTTATTTTTGAGAGACAGAGCATGAGTGAGACAGAGCATGAGCAGGGGAGGGGGCGGGGGGGAGATACAGACTCTGAAGCCGGCTCCAGGCTCTGAACTGTTTGTTAGTGCAGAACCTGACGCGGGGCTTGAACTCACCAAGGTGAGACCATGACCTGAGCTGAAGTCAGACGCTCAACGGACTGAGCCACCCAGGCGCCCCACAACATTATTTTTAGAAATGACCATTTAATATTTCTCATGTCCAGATGGAGCAATGCACTTAACGACCCTCGCGTTTCGGAATGATTAGTGTCTCATTTCCCCCTGCAGTTAACACTGCTGAGATCCACATTCTTGAGGCTTTTCACACATCCACAGTCGTTTTATTGTAAATTCTAAAACTGGAAATACTGCGCCTCATGCTCTACCCATGGTGAAGGTTTCTGCTGCCCACTGCTCAGCAGCCCTCTGGACAGGTGCTTCCGATTCGCAGCTCTAGCTGCAACAAGGGGTCCCCCAAGTCATTAAGGCAAGAAACGAAATCTACAAATTTGGGATCGCCACTGAAGATTCCTAATTCCAACGTCCGCTTTTTGCACGAGCAGGCGTGAACACGGACTGCAGCGTGGTATCCAATACTGAAAATCAAAAATGAACTTCACGTTCCCTAAGCGGGCATTGGTTAAACAGGCTGCGAACCGTTCCGCATGTGTGCTTGGGGGCGGGGGCGGGGGGGGTGCAGGACTGCATACTTTCGTGCGGACGGGGGGACGGGGAGGTGCCCGCCGCCTCTTCGCCTGGGAGCGCGGTAGCTCTCAGGAGCTTTGGCTTCGGGATCTGCTTTCCCGACGCGCTCGGCCCCAGATTGTGCAGCAAGCGGTCCGTCCGGCCGAAGGGCAGAGATCCGAGTTCGCGCCCTGGCCGGGCCCTGATTGGCCGACCTGCGCTAGCCGAGGTGACGACCCTGCCCGATCCCCCGCGAGCCCACCCTGGCGCTTTCTCCTGGGGGTGCGGTGACGCCGGACTCTTCGCGGTCGGACCCCTCAGGCGCCGGGGCGCGTTTCCGCCGGCCACGCTCAGCAGCGCACCAAGCGGAAGTGGCCGTGTTGTGGCGGAAGTAGACGCTTCGTGGGGGCCGCCGGCGCTGGAAGGAACGTGGCCGGCAAAGATGATTCAAGCGATTCTGGTTTTCAACAACCACGGGAAGCCGCGGCTGGTCCGCTTCTACCAGCGTTTCGTGAGTGCGGCCCGGCCTCGTCCCGCCCCTGCCGAGCGCCCGCGCCCCCCTCCCTCCCCGCGGCCCCTCCCGCCGACGCACCGCCTGGGGCTCCCGCACCCGGCGTCACCCACGCACCCTTCACCCTCCTGGCGGGGCCGGGGCTGGCGTCCCGCGTCACGTCCCATCCCCGCGCTCGCAGACCCCATCCGGGACCCCAGCATTTGGTGACGCTCTTCTATTTGGTGACGCCTCCCCTTGCGTCTCGGGGCTCTCTAAAGGCCAATGGGGGGTGTGCCCCATTGAAAACTTCACTGGTCGCTGCCCCTTTAATCGTGCTGGTCGTACGAATAGGAAGAAACATGCAGCTTATTAAAGTTCTTGCGTTAGCCCAAAGATCTGGAAACGTGCTTCCTTGGGATTATTGTGCTTCAGTGCTGGGTGGGACTGCCCAGGGACTGGATACCCTTCCTTCTGTACAGTTGAGGGAAGTCAGCTTCAAAGTGGGAGATGGTGAGAAATTATAAAGGCTGCCGCGTGAGGGCTCAATAAATGATCATGGCAATTTGAGTTTTCCCAAAACTCCTCTGGGAAAAGAGACATCATTATTTGTCTTCTGCCCTCCAGCGTTGTATTTCTTCGCGGCAAGGTTTCAAAATGTTACATACGTTGTCAGTGAAAACGCAAGCGGGTAAAGAGTCAGAAGACGCCTATTCAGGAGGCCTCATCTCACTTTTTTTTTCTTTTTTCTTTTTTTTTTTTTTTACCCTGTGTCTATCGACCTTGTGTTATTTTCCACACAAACCCCCTTTTTTTGTCAAATAGGGGCGAGCAAAATAATTTTACCTTTTTCATAGAATTTTTAAGCTAGATTACATTTAGTAATTATTTCCAGATAAAAATAGTATAATTCACTACAACCATTTAGTTTGTATTTGTGTGTGTGAATTTTTCTTTTTCTTTTTTTTTTAGGTTTTATTGAGAAACAAGTCATATATGTGTAGTTCACCTATTTAAAGCATATAGTTCAGTGGATTTTAGTACTTTTGCAAAGTTGTGGAACCATCCCCGTGGTCAGAAAATTTCCATTTCCCCAAAAAGAAACCACTAGGCATTAGTAATCATTCCTTATTTCCTCTTCAGCCCCCTCAGCCCTAAGCAGCCACTAGTCTACTTTCTGCCTCTCTAAATCTGCCTATACTGGACATTTGATATAAATGCTATTCAATATGTGGTCTCTTTCACTTTGTATGTTTTTAAGGTGGCAGGTGTAAGTTTTTATGTGCACATATCTTTTCATTTCCCTTTTTTTTATTTTTTATTTTTTTTAATGTTTTTATTTATTTCCAGGAGAGAGACAGCGTGAGCAGGGGAGGGTCAGAGAGAGAGGGAGTCACAGACTCTGAAACAGGCTCCAGGCTCCGAGCTGGCAGTCAGCACAGAGCCCGACGCGCGGGGCTCGAACCCACGAACCGCGAGATCATGACCTAAGTGAAAGTCGGACGCTTAACTGACTAAGCCACCCAGGCGCCCCTCTTTTCATTTCCCTTGGTTATAAATCAAGGAGTAGAATTGCTGGGTCATAAGGTAACTTTATGGTGAATCTTTTGAGGAACAACAGAACTGTTTTCCATAGCAGCCACACCATTTTACATTCCCATGAGCGATGCATAGGAGTTCCAATTTTCCCACCTCTCTTTCAACATTTGTTACTATCTTTTTGATTAAAAACACTTTAATGGGTATAAAGTGGATTCTCACTGTGGTTTTAATTTTCCGTTCCTCTCATGACTAACGACCGTGAACATATTTGCATGTTCATACTGGCCTTTTGTAAACCTTTGGAGAACATAGGAGTTTTATAACTAACATTAGCTCATGAGTGAAAATTAACCTTGAAAACTGCAGAGTACTAAGCGGTAGGAGGGGTTGTTAAAGTCATTGAGGCATGAAAGCAAGTGGTAGTTCGGTTTTTTATGGAAATTAGAAATTGGTTAGCTTTACTGTTTCATACCACTTTCCCTCTGTTGCCATTTCCCTCTAGTGTCAGGTAAAAGGCTTCGGTTTGAAAGATGTTTTTGTAGGTTTAAGAAAGTGCTGATGCCTAGCACGCTTTCTGTCTCTAAGTACACAGTTAATCCTTTCCGTCATCCTGGCGCACTCAAATTTACGGTGACTAGTTTTCATTTGTTCAGTAAAATACAGAGAGCCACCATATATCCATGCTGAGTCAAAGTTCTGAAAAGTAATTTCTTCACAATGAGATTTTCCTGTGTGTTTCTTTTTTTTTTTTCAGTCTTTTAAACAGCAATTTCAAACAAATTCAGTGCTGTAGAAAGAAGGGATTAGCGTTACTTCAGTCTACTTTCTGACTCTTAGGGCAAGTCCAATCTGAAGGTTTTCTTAAGCTTTGCTCCTCAGAGTGTGATCCCCCAGCCAGCAACTTTAGTATCATCTGGAAGCTTGTTACAGACGCAGTCTCCAGTCGTACCCCCAACCTGCGAAATCAGAACCTGTCTTGTAATAACATTCCCAGGTCACTGGACTAGCGCTTTTGATTACTTTTGTCCTAATGATTTGTTTCTTCCTCCCATCATCCTTTTTTTTAAACCATACTTACGATGAACCTCCTCTGTATAAATGGAAATCAGTGTAAGTTATCAAGAGATATTCTTGCAGTTGAGCTTTCTTATATATAGTAGTGGGGGGGGTGTCTAACTGTTTAAAATTCTAATCTGTAAATAGAATTTTTTCTGTCTTCCTCAGTAATACTTTGTTGGTAACACCTCCTCCATCTTCTACATATTACCAGTGCAAAAGATGGAAAATTCAGTTTTTTAAAACAAAATTACATAATTACATCATGACCTCCATGAAAGGTTAGACCTGTTGACATTGGTATAGATGTTTTCTAAGGGAAGACAAAATATCCCAGGATTGCCCTTCTAGTTATTCTTTGATCTTTTAGGAGAGTTTATCAGTTCTCCTTCCTTCCCTTGGTTATTTACTCTAAGGAAGTGTCACCTTACCTATCAGGACAGTAACGGTTAGTGACTAGGTATCTACGTAAATATACCCTATCTCAATTCCTGTAACTGAGTCTTGATCCATTTTTCCATAGATTCCCCTTTTATTTTTTTCTTTACTCATCATTTTTTATTTTTTCTGAAAACTGGTACCAAATGTTCAGAGCGTTGGAACCTGAATTCCTGGTTGGAACCACTTCTCTTCCTGTACATCCCCATCCATAGAATGTGGTTTTTCAGACCTCCCCACTGAGTCACTTTATTTATTTTATTCCACAGCCAGAAGAAATTCAGCAGCAGATTATCCGAGAGACCTTCCATCTAGTTCTGAAGCGAGATGACAACATCTGTAACTTCTTGGAGGGTGGAAGGTAAATGACAGGTTTCAGTTTTCTACTCACACATCTTCCATTGGGTGGCCTTCGTCAGTGTTTCCTCAAGTGTCGGGTGGGTACGTGAGCTGCCCAGGAAGAGGCCCGCTTCTGTTTTGGAAGCTGTTGAGTGGTGATGCTTCAGGTCTCACTAAGAGGTTTGGTTCTTGGGAAGGTGGCAGAAGAACAGGTGAGGTCAAGTGGCTTAGGCATTTCTGCCAAACTTGGTTGCTGGTCCCCTGTGAGAAATGGCCTGTTGTTTGGCCTGCCCTCCCCTTTCTCTTGCGCCTGTTCTCACTCTTTGGCACAAGGTGTCTTGTAGAAAAGTTAATATCCAGCCCTTTAAATGTATCCCATTCTCCACAGTTTGATTGGCGGCTCTGACTACAAACTGATCTATCGGCACTATGCGACACTCTACTTTGTGTTTTGTGTGGACTCGTCAGAGAGTGAACTTGGAATCTTGGACCTCATCCAGGTACGTGTAGTCAGCTAACGATGGCAACCACTAAAGAATTTGCACTGGACTCTTGCGTGACCATCCTGTAGATCTTTTTGTCAGTCTCTTTACAACACTGCTAAGAGCTGCCAGCTGTCCACCCTGTGGTACTGTAAGGAAGCTCCTTGCAACCGTAAAAACTCTTAGAACTTTTGGCCTCCTTGGTTTGTACCCCGCTCTCTCACTGCCCTTGGTTTTCATGTACGATTCTGACACACACTTCCAAGGTGTCTGTTTTTTCCCAGCGCCACGTAGCAGTTAGCTCAGTTCTCTGTGGACATTGACCAGGTGTCCCACAAATGTAACTCGGTTCTGACACCATCTCCCTGGGATAAAGGGACCCCATTCGCAAGTCTAGGTTGTCTGTGACCTGTGCTTCTGACTGAATGGCTATACATCTGAGGTTCCCATGACATCCTCCTTGGGTTTGATTAATTTCTTAGAGGGGCTTACAGAACTCTCTAGAAGAACATTGTACTCACTAGATTACCAACATATTGTAAAAGGATGCGCAGGGCCAGGAAAGGGGAAAGGGCCTGGAGCTTTTATGTCCTTTCCAGTCAGGCCACTCTCTCTCATCTCCACTAACCTGGAAGCCCCCAAACCCTGTCCTGTTGGGTTTTTCTGGAGATCCGGGGTGGGGCTGAAAGTTCTGATCCTCTGATTGGATGGTGGTTTTTCCTTGCAACCGACCCCCATCTTTAGGTGCTTTCCAAAAGTCACCTTATTAACATAAACAAGGCACCTTTATCACTTAGGAAATTCCAAATTTCTTTATCACTTAGGAGCTCTGTGCCAGAAATAGGCATGAATACCAAATATTTTCTTATTGTAAATTATAAATAGCATACTATGTTTAGAAATTTTTTTCAACTCTCAAACCAAATGATATTTAAGAACTCATACGTTTTTGGGGCATCTGGGTGGCTCAGTTGGTTAAGCGTCTGACTTCAGCTCAGGTCATGATCTCACAGTTCATGGGTTCGAGCCCCGCGTCGGGCTCTGTGCTGACAGCTAGCTCAGACCCTGGAGACTGTTTCAGATTCTGTATTTCCCTCTCTCTCTCTCTGACCCTCCCCTGCTCATGCTCTCTCTCTCTCTCTCTCAGAAATAAATAAAATGTTAAAAAATTAAAAAAAAAAACCTCATACGTTTTATTTTTACTTGTAATTCTAGCCTGAAACAAAGAGGTTTGATGTTTTAGTCTGTGCAGTCTTAACAGGGATAAACATGATTTTTTAAGGCTTTACAGATCCTTTTTCATTATCTTCATGGAAACTGAGACGTGCAGGGAGCCTGGCTTGGGAACCATTAATTTAGTATAATTTCATCACTTTATTGTTTTTTTTTAAAAGTAATCTCTGCACCCAATCTGGGGCTCGAATTCACAGCCCCGAGATTGAGAATAGTATACTGTACCGACTGAGCCAGCCAGGTGCCCCTAATTCCATCATTTTATACATGAAATTTTAGGTAGGCTTCCTTTAAGTGGCTTGAATAAGTTACTTAAGTAGAAGGCACTGAAGTAGAAGCTTGCACTAAAACCTAACTAACAATGATTCTCTAGATATAAAAATACAAACTTTACACTCAGAAAATAATTTAAGATGATTAAATTGAAAGTTCATACATTTTATTCACTATTCACTTATTGTACATAACAGTCTAAATAATCTAAAAAATATTAATTTTAAAAGCTTTCTTAAAATACCTGAGTCAGATTAGACATTGAGAATCAGTGTGGCATAAAAGAAAGAACTCCACATCTAGAATCATAGAACCTGCATTTGAGTCACAGATCTACCATCTGACTATAGAAATACCAGGTTGTAGGATTCAATTGTGATGATGTATTTTATAGTATTGTAAACTATAGAATGCTATAGAAACGTACATATAATAAGCTTGTTAGAAAAAAAAGGAAATGTAGTGAAAGTATATTTTAAAAATTGAGATACATTTCAATATCTATATTAGCAAGAAAAAAGAAATTAACTGTATATGGTAATGGACATTTATTAAATAGTGCGCACTGGGTTTGGGAAGATAAGTAAAAGGTAAAAACAGTAGGAACTAAGGGGTTTGATCTTTGAAAAGACAATAAAATCAACAAATAGTTGGCTAATATATTGAGGATAAAAGTCAAAAAACAACATGTTTTTAGAGGATGAGCTACATAGTTTTATTACCAATTATTTGAAACAGCTGACTTCAAAACATAAATACCCGAATTAAATCAACCACAGGGCACCTAACCCAGTATCAGGATGAAATAAGAAAGGTTTAAAAAAATGATTCCACCAACTGAGTCAGATGCTTAACCAACTGTGTCTCCCTCTCTCTCTGCTCCTCCCTCACTCGTTGTCTGTCTCTCAAAATAAAGACATAAAAAATTTTTAAATAAATAAAACCAAGAACCAGTATTTTGTCTCTCAAAATAAAGACATAAAAAATTTTTAAATAAATAAAACCAAGAACCAGTATTTTCTCAGGAGAGAAATGTATAGGCATTCACAAAAACAAGGGTATCTCTTACTCTTTACTCTAATTTGGACAAATGTTTGTTACGAGTGATAAAAAAGGAAATGAACAAGTAACGTGGTAAAGGACGAGAGAGATGAGCTGTCACTATAACATGGCCTGATGACATGCCTAGAAAACTTAAAAAAAAAACCCACAGCAAAGAATTATACCAAGTAATGAATTATACTAACAAAATGGCAGAATGTGAGATAAATTCATCAGAATTGAATCTTTTTTTCTGTGAAAATAGGTAGAAAAACCTTAATTAAAAAAAGAAACCCTGACAATAGTGATAAAGGATATTGAATGTTTGGAAATTAATTTAGTTTGGAATACTTGACATTAATTCCAAGAAAATTATAAAATCTTAAAGGAAATACATAAAGGGATACTTAAATGGAGATACAAGTCCTCTCCTTGTTGGGAAAAGTCAAGCAAAGGTAACAATAATAAGTTAAATGGGAAACCAAGTATAATTGCATCAGAAAATCTTATAGCACTTTTGGTGAAGGGAAAATTTATCAGGAAAATGAGTGGCTAAGAAATGCAGAAATATTTGGAGGGAAAAAGGTCAGTAATTGGGGGTTGGCTTTACTAGGCTTCAGAATATATGCTGATTGCAGACAGAATTATTACCTACCTAGGAAATCCAAAACTCAACTGGTAAACCATTAGAGCTATGAATAGAGTTCATTATGGGGACGATTTTAACATATAAAAATCAATAGCTTTCCCTTAACAATAATAAGGAAATATTTAAAGGGGTCCACTCAACAGAAGCAAAAAGCTCCAGAAGATATCAAGGAATAAATGTAAAATATGTGCAAGATGTGGGGTGCCTGGGTGGCTCAGTCGGCTGAGCATCTGACTTCGGCTCAGGTCGTGAACTCAAAGTTCGTGAGTTCGAGCTCCGCGTGGGGCTCTGTGCTGACCGCTCAGAGCCTGGAGCCTGCTCCGGATTCTGTGTCTCCCTCTCTCTCTATGTTCCTCCCCTGATTGCATTCTGTCTCACTGTCTCTCTCTCAAAAATAAAGAATAAAAAAACAAAATTTAAAACAAAAATCAAAACAAACAGAAAAAACATGTGCAAGACATATATGAAGAAAACTTTCAAAATCTACCAAAAATATGAAAAAAGCAAAATAAATGAATAAAACATACCCTTTGTCTGTTGAGAAAAGTCATTACGATGTCCGTACTTCCAGATTATCCATTTACTGAAAACCCAACCAGAATCCCTGTAACATTATTGTTTTTAAAATTATTTTTCTTAAATTTTTTAGTGTTTATTTTTGAGAGAGAGAGAGACAGAGAACAAGCAGGGGAGGGACAGGGAGAGAGGGAGACACTTGAGCTACCAAGTGCCCCTAAAATTATTTTTATTGTGAAATATTGTATATACAAAAAAATACACTAACCATGCTGGTATAGTGTTAAAAATGCCAGTAAGATTAAACTGTCACCCAGATTAAGAAACAGTACATTGCTAGTGCCATTAGGCTCATGTCTGTGGTGCCTCACTTCTGTCCCCTCATCCTGCATCCGTCCTCCAGACATTCGAGTTGGTCGTCCCTTTGCTTCTCTTTACAGCTGTCCAATGGGCTGCACAGTCCCTAACTGGTGCTTATCTCAGTTTGGAAAATCTGAGCGGCAAGCACAAACGGTTGTGTGAGGATAGTGTGACTTGCCACTTTTAGATGAAGGCCCCCAACACAAGACAAGCTGAGCGGAGTGTCTGGGTCATGGTCTCGCTTCATTATCCCTGAGTGTACGTGAGCTGCTTCTGGGGACATCCGAGGGCAAGGTGGTGTGAGTGATCTGGAGAAACCGAGCTCGCCGTAGGCGGGGCATCTGGCTCCGGCGTTCTGGCAGAAACACGCTCAGGAGGAGTTGGCCACCGCGCATTTTCTGTCTTCAGCTTGTCTCCTACCTCGCTGCTTCGGGAGTAAGTCAAAGCAGAACATTTCAGTGGGGGTCAAGTGAGTGTCCTCAGCTAACCCAGGCAGAGCAGTAGGAGAGAGATTAGATTGCTTCCATTTTTCTCCTTCCTTCCTTCCTTCCTTCCTTCCTTCCTTCCTTCCTTCCTTCCTTCCTTCCTTCCTTCCTTCCTTCCTTCCTTCCTTCCTTCCTTTTCGATTAACACAAATAAAACTGCCTCATGTCTTTATGCAGCTGTTGGGCCTATTCACAGAACAGACTGAAAACAGAGTTCCTGAGTCAAAGATACTAATATTTCTAATTATAATGCATGTTGCTAGGTAGAGGTACAGGAAAGCTATGTTAATTTATAATGTCTCCAGGGCTGTTTGAGTTCATGTTTCTTCTTAGCTCAAACATTGAAATAGGTCATTTTTATTTTCTACTCAGAGGCAGAGTGGTGCCTCACAGATGTCTGGATTTTTATTTATTAATCATGCCTACTTTTTCCATGTGTGTATTTACATTGTTCTTTTCAT